AGGAGCAACCACGACTTCATCAGAGTCAAGCTCACGAACCTCGAACTGAGAGTCGGGAATGGACCCGTCATCAACAGGCTCAGGAGCATTCACAGACTTCCAATAACTCGGCATCCAATCCTCAAAGGCAGTCTCATACTTGTCCTCATCCTGATCGTTACCGAGACCAATGGCAACTGTCCTTTGACCGCCCATCTGAGCGAAGATATCGTCAATTCTCTTGGCAGCAGTGCAGAAGTGATGATAACTGGAGTCACCCAAAGCAAAGACACCGTATTGGACACCGTCCAACAGATGAGCATTGGAGTTGTCCTTACCAGCAAGCTGCAACTGCGCAGTGAAGTGAAGGGCAGTCCTAGGAGTGGTACCCTCACCAGTAGTAGCGCAAAGAACCATAAGGTTCTTGTTTTCAGGGAGCTCACTCACGTCCATCTCATCGCACTCCATGACCTTCACAGCGTAACCACGCTGACGGGCCAGTTCAGCAACACGATAAGCCAAGGCCTCGGTAGTACCGGTCTCGGTGCCGTACAGAAGAGTCAGCGGAACACCATTAGAGATATCTTCCTGACCCAAAGCAGCCCATCTCTGGTACTTGCTGTAACGTTCACGGACCCAAGCATCAAGCTCAGAGCTGTACTTCTTGTACAGATCGGCATCACGCTTCTTCAAAGCACCGAAACGCATCTCGTTGTCGAGGACAGCATCAACACCCATGGTGAGCTTCTTGGTATCAAGAACGAAGGGGTTCTTGCCCATCCTCTTCAACATCGGGTTATAACGATAGATCGGGAAGTAGCCGGAAGCAGCAACGGTCGCCTGATGCTGCATAGTACGAGTCATACCATCGAGATTCTTGTGCTCAATGCAGGGTGCATAAGCCACGATAACAGAGCAACCATCATAATCCTCGGCCTCGGAGAAAGCCTTCAAGGTCTGATCATAATTGGCACCCATGGAAACGCTGGCAACGTACACAGTGCCATAATCCATAGCCATTTCAGCCAAATTCTTCTTCTCGACTTCGTGACCCTTGGTCGCGAACTTGGCAACCGCACCAATGGGAGTAGCCTTGGACTTCTGACCACCAGTGTTTGAATAAGCCTCAGTATCCAAAACTAAAACGTTCAAGTCCTGGCCGGAAGCAATGACGTGATCGAGTCCACCATAACCGATATCATAACCCCAACCATCACCACCGATGATCCAGTTAGAGATCTTAGGAATCAAATCGGACACATCAAGAATCTCCTGAATAGCAGGATCCTTACTGGCTTCGGCCTTGAGAAGAGGCGGGAGAGACTTGGAAAGAGCGGCGCACACAGAAGGATTCCTGAAGTTCTCAACCCACTCGTTCAACTGAGTGTACAACTCAGGCGAGAGCGGACTATCCTTTCCTTCGAGAAGAAGTTCCTGTACACGAGCCTTGAGCGCCTTACGACGGACAGAGGTGGTCACAGCCATACCCATACCATATTCTGCAGCGTCTTCGAAAAGACTGTTGGCCCAGGCGGGACCAGTCCCATCATGCCTCGCAGCGAAAGGAGTAGAACCGTAAGGAGCACCCCAAATACTGGAGCAACCCGTAGCATTAGCAATCATCATGCGGTCACCGAACATCTGGGTAAGAAGGCGAACATAGGGGGTTTCACCACAGCCAGCACAAGCACCATGGAACTCGAGCAAAGGTTGGTAGAACTGACTGCCCTTGAGGGTGGTATTATCGAACCTTGAAGATCGATCAGGGAGGCTTACAGCATACTCCCAGTTTGGCGCCTCGATCTCTCTGAAGTCAGCTAAGTGCTCCATTCTCAAAGCATCATAGGGGCATGCATGCACGCATACCTCACAGCCAGTGCAATCCAAGGGCGAGACCTGGATCCTGTAGTGGAGACCGGCAACTTCGGCACCACCCTTGGCTTTACGAGTATCGAAGGTACTCGGCTTGGCATCATCCTCAGCTTGGGACAACAAGAAGGGTCTGATGCAAGCGTGAGGACACGACATAGAGCAAATATTGCATTGAGTGCACTTGTCCATATCAACGATGGGGACCATCAAGGCAACGCCACGCTTCTCGACCTTGGCGGTTCCAAGAGGAACCTTACCGCCAACGAGTTCGTCGTTGGCAAAAGCACTAACGGGAATATCATCACCTTGGAGAAGAGCAATAGGAGCCTGAATATTCTCAGTGAAGCTCGGCTTATTAATAGCACTCTTATCCTTAGCCAAGTTACCGAGAGCATTATGATAAGTCTGTTCATAATTGAGCATACTATCCGATAGATTCTTCCATTCAGCAGGAACCTTGATCTCAGTAATTGCATCAAGAGCCTTGTCGATCATCTCATAGTTCTTCTGGACAACAGCCTCACCACGATGGCCATAACTCTTTCTAATGGTATTCTTATACAGACCGATACACTCCTTGAAATCCATCACGTTTGCAAGCTTGAAGAAAGCAGACTGCATAACAACATTGATCATGCGGCCCATACCACATTCCTGGGCAACCTTGAAAGCGTCGACATTGAAAACCTTAGCATTTTTCTCAGCAAGGGACTTGCGAACACCAGCGGGTACATGCTCGTTCCACTCCTCAACCGTGGTGAAGGGCGAGTTCAAGCAGAAGGTACCGTTGTCCTTGAGGTGAGTAGTCATACGATACATGTCCAAGTAAGTAGGGTTGTGACACCCGACATAGTCGGCCTTGCTCACGGAATAGTAGGATTTAATAGGCTCGGGACCGAATCTCAAATGAGAAACGGTCAACCCACCAGCCTTCTGTGAACCATAGGCGAAGTATGCCTGGACATAGAGGTCAGTATTATCACCGATGATCTTGGTAGCGTTCTTGTTAGCACCAACAGTACCATCAGACCCATAACCGTAGATGAGACATTCAACGGTCTTGGGATGAGAAACGTTGATCTCATCACTGAGAGGCAGAGACCTGTTAGTCACATCATCCTCGATCCCCACAGAGAAGTGATCCTTGGGGTATTGAGCATAAAGATTGTCTGCCACAGCAGCAACACATTTGGGAGTGAAATCCTTCTGTCCGAGACCCCAACGGCCACCGATCACCTTGATGTTCGAACGGCCAGACTCCTGAATAGTACTGGCAACATCCAAATAGAGAGGCTCTCCGAGAGCACCAGGTTCCTTAGTCCTATCAAGGACAGCAATGCGCTTAACAGACTTGGGCAAGGTCTTGAGGAAGTCTTCAGCAGACCAGGGACGGTAAAGACGAGGCTTGAGCACACCAACCTTCTTACCTTGCGAGTTGAGGTAAGGTAGAGACTCTTCAATAACACTAGCGCCAGAACCCAAAATAACAATTGCCGCCTCAGCATCCTTCGGGCCGGTCCATTGGAAAAGGTCATAGTGACGACCAGTAACAGCGCCAACACGGTCCATCTCCTCCTTCACAATTTGAGGAGTCTTATCGTAGAAAGCGTTGGAAGCCTCGAACTGTTGGAAATAAACATCGGGATTCTCGTTGGTACCGCGGACATAAGGGCGAGTAGGATTGAGGGCTCTTGCACGATGAGCATTTAGTGCCTTCATATCGATCATCCGTCGCATCTGATTGTAAGGTAAAGTATCGACCTTCTCAATGCAATGAGAGAGACGGAACCCATCGAAGAAACTGACAAAAGGCACTCTGGCTCTGAGAGTGGCCAGGTGAGATACCAGAGCCATATCATGGCACTCCTGGACAGTATCGGCGTCAATCATAGCGAAACCGGTCTGACGAACAGCCATGACATCCTGATGATCACCAAAAATAGATAACGCCTGACCAGCAACAGCACGTGCGGCCACATGCATAACACAGGGGAGGAGTTCACCAGCTATCTTGTACATATTAGGAACCATAAGGAGGAGACCTTGACTGGCAGTATACGTGGTGGCCAAAGAACCGGCCGCCAAGGCACCGTGGAGAGCACCAGCAGCACCGGCTTCAGACTGCATTTGAGTTATCTTGGGTACATCACCGAAAGCATTCTTCACACCGAGCGCCGACCACTGCTCAGCAAGCTCAGCAGCAGGGGACGAGGGAGTGATAGGGTAAATGTAGGCGGTATCCATCATAGCATAAGACACATGGCACACAGCAGTGCAACCATCCATAGTCTGCCATTCACCACCACTGGGAGAAGCTTTACCAGCGAAATGGCGGGGTAAGGAAGCGGACATGGCATTCCGCGAAGCTCCGAGAGCTCCCTTGGTGACGACACTTAAACACGGGGTACTGTGGTTCAATGTCGACAACATGAAACCAAAAAGGAGGAAGGAAGAAAAATCGGAAACCTGAAACGATAATCGTTCAACACATCATCAACATTCGAAATCGGCCTCAGAGAAAATACAATCCAAACAACTCTACCTATACTGACAAAGACTCCGAACACGAAATCCTGCGCTGAGCTCTACAGCTTTGTCACAAGCTTCGACCAAATTTCTGTCCCAGTCATTGTTCACACCATTTTTCTTCACTTTGGGTCGAAATTGACACATCAAATCTGGTTGAGGATGGTCAATTGATGTTCGTTGGACCTCTTCTCAGGTATATTCGGCATCACTTTGGCTGGTGAAGCCACAATGTGAGTGAATATTGCGGTGTGAGTAGTATCAAAACCTGAGGTATGAAAGCCTCACCGCGGAAACATATACAACAACATAGAAGCCTTACCACGGAAGCATATACAACAACTGCATAATGACTACCTTTCACGAAGAGGGAATTAGCATTGATGATTCTCGAACAACTCTTTCTACTGTCATGTACTATTAGATACCGGCACTACGAGGAGATTCTAACGAGTTCACCTCCCCAAGGTTTTATTGCTCTTCAAAGGTACCTCTGCGTAGCCTTTAATGTATCCGACGGGGCAGCTATGCCACCCAAAAAGAAACATTAGTACGATCCGTGCTATGGTATTGAAGTGAATTCGTAATAAGAAGATAGGACGATCACTTCCATTGACACGTTTGAAGTAACTTCAGTTTCGATGGAGGCTGGAAAAATCACTGTTAGCCAGGCCTATCCTGCTTAGGGGCAGATATGCCACACATATACGGGAGTTCAGTCAAGGCGGTAAGTCATGCCTATCCTACTCAGGGGCAGATATGCCACGCAAGGACGTGTGTTGAATCAAGGCGGTGAGTCAGATCTATCCCGCTCAGGGGCAGATATGCCACGCAAGGAAGTGTGTTGAATCAAGGCGGTGAGTCAGATCTATCCCGCTCAGGGGCAGATATGCCGCAAAGGAACGTGTGTTCAAGCACACTACCAAACTGGCTTGAAAGTACATGCGTCGGAAGACACTGCTTTCGGGTAGAACTCAATTTTACATTTCGTCGAAATTGGATTAGCTCCAGTTTTTCGCGCACCTGCGATTTGGGACTGCGGAATCTGCGATATACCTTTGGCTAAGACGTACATGTATAGTTAAACCTTGAGAAGGTCAATCCGTGTCATACGAAACCTCAAAACTGCCGCGGACTATCTTGCCTCAACTCCCAAGAACGCAAGAATCAAGCATGTTTGCAATTTGGAATGCCTTCTGATGCTTGGAAGGGTAGACGTATGAACGTCAGCGTCGTACCCAAAGAGTAGATCTAGGCTCTGAACGTAAAATGATAATGCACTCAAATTGATAAACAACAGTATATACTCAGAACGAGATGAGATGTGATAAATAGCCTATGTCACCGAGTACCTCAGTACACCTCAGGACAATAACGGTCATTTTCCGCAAGGTCTTCAAAGATAGCCTTAGCCTTATCCATCGAAACGTTCTCGCCCTTAGCAATAGCGCGATAGACGGCACTTCTGATGTCGTTCTCAACCTGACCAGCCTGTCCGCAAAGATAGAAGTAACCACCTTTCTTAATGAGATCCTCATACACACGAGAGCTGTTATCATCGATCTTGTTCTGCACATAGACCTTCTCCTTCTGGTCACGAGAGAATGCGGGATGAAGTTCAGTGATGGCACCCTCCTTTACGAAGCCCTCCAGCTCGTTACCGAAGATGTAATCCTTGCTCTGATGACGGCACCCATAGAAGAGCCACATGGGACCAGTCTGGATGCCCTGGCGCTTCATCCAAGCGCGCTCTTGAGAGAAGGCGCGGAAGGGAGCAAGACCAGTACCAAGGCCAGCCATGATCATAGGTGTCATCGGGCTCTCGGGGAACTTGAAGCTACCAGAAGTGATAGTAGCGGTAGTCTTCTGACCCGGCACGATACGCTGAATATAATCGGTAGCAGTACCAGTTCTTCGGACACCAGAGGCAGTAGTCCAGTTAACAATCACAACAGCAAGCTCGATGGCCTTAGGACCAACGAACCTCGGGGAACTAGCAATGGAATAGAGCCTAGGCTTAGTGCAAGGGATGAGAGTGATCAACTGATCAAGAGAAGGACGAGCACTGGTGTACTTATCGAGGATATCAGCGAAGGTCACAGTCTCACCAGCCAGCTTGGTGTACATATCACGACCCTTGGTATCATCGGGGTTGCCGATCAACGCCAGCTCAGCCTTTTCCTTGGGATCTAAAGCGAACTTAGACAGAGTCTTGTAGAAAGCCCTGTTGGGACGACCGAAGATGTCCAAAGACTCCTGGAAGAGCTGGGAGATAGTACGGGGACGGAGAGAAGCAGCGCGTTTGCGAGCATCAATATTCTCGGATACAGGAGTGATCTTGACCATCTCCGAGGGGTTGAGACCATAAGACTGAAGGAAAGCACTAACTCTGCCAGCCTCGTTCATGGGGTGGATATTGAGGACATCACCAAGAAGATAGGGAAGATCCTGACCATCCTCCAATTCGAAGCGCAAATGACGGATATCCCTCTCGTAGTCGCTGGGAGTAAGACGATCGTTCTTCTTCAAACCAAGCTGAATAGTTTGAGGAGGCATGATCCTCTCATAAGGAGCGACCACGACTTCATCAGAGTCAAGCTCACGAACCTCGAACTGAGAGTCGGGAATGGACCCGTCATCAACAGGCTCAGGGGCATTCACAGACTTCCAATAACTCGGCATCCAATCCTCGAAGGCAGTCTCATACTTGTCATCATCCTGATCGTTACCGAGACCAATGGCAACTGTCCTTTGACCGCCCATCTGAGCAAAGAGATCGTCGATTCTCTTGCCAGCAGTGCAAAAGTGATGATAACTGGAGTCACCCAAAGCAAAGACACCGTATTGGACACCATCCAACAGATTAGCATTGGAGTCGTCCTTAACAGCAGATTGCAACTGTGAGGTAAAGTCGAGAGCAGTTCTTGGGGTAGTACCCTCTCCCGTAGTGGAGCAAAGGACCATAAGGTTCTTGTTTTCAGGGAGCTCACTCACGTCCATCTCATCGCACTCCATGACCTTCACAGCGTAACCACGCTGACGGGCAAGTTCAGCAACACGATAAGCCAAGGCCTCGGTAGTACCGGTCTCGGTGCCGTACAGAAGAGTCAGCGGAACACCATTAGAGATATCATCCTGACCCAAAGCAGCCCATCTCTGGTACTTGCTGTAACGTTCACGCACCCAAGAGTCAAGCTCAGACCTGTACTTCTTGTACAAATCGGCATCACGCTTCTTCAAGGCACCGAAACGCATCTCATTGTTAAGGACTGCGTCTACGTTCTCAGTGAGTTTTTTGGTATCAAGAACGAAGGGGTTCTTACCCAACTTCTTCAACATCGGATTGTAATGATAGATCGGGAAGTAACCAGACGCAGCAGCAGTAGCCTGATGTTGCATAGTGTGAGTCATACCATCGAGATTCTTATGCTCAATGCAGGGTGAGTAAGCCACGATAACAGAGCAGCCATCATAGCCCTCAGCTTCAGAGAAGGCCCTCAGAGTCTGCTGATAGTTGGCACCCATGGAAACACTTGCAACGTACACAGTACCATAATCCATGGCGAGCTCAGCCAAATTCTTCTTCTCTCTCTCGTGGCCCAGGGTAGCAAACTTGGCAACAGCACCAATGGGAGTAGCCTTGGACTTCTGACCACCAGTGTTTGAATAAGCCTCAGTATCCAAAACTAAAACGTTCAAGTCCTGGCCGGAAGCAATGACGTGATCGAGTCCACCATAACCGATATCATAACCCCAACCATCACCACCGATGATCCAGTTAGAGATCTTAGGAATCAAATCGGACACATCAAGAATCTCCTGAATAGCAGGATCCTTACTGGCCCCAGCCTTGAGAAGAGGCGGGAGAGACTTGGAAAGAGCGGCGCACACAGAAGGATTCCTGAAGTTCTCAACCCACTCATTCAACTGGGTGTACAACTCAGGCGAGAGCGGACTATCCTTTCCTTCGAGAAGAAGTTCCTGCACACGAGCCTTGAGCGCCTTACGACGGACAGAGGTGGTCACAGCCATACCCATACCATATTCTGCAGCGTCTTCGAAAAGACTGTTGGCCCAGGCGGGACCAGTCCCATCGTGCCTCGCAGCGAAAGGAGTAGAACCGTAGGGAGCACCCCAGATACTGGAGCAACCGGTAGCATTAGCAATCATCAATCGGTCGCCGAACATCTGGGTAAGAAGGCGAACATAGGGAGTCTCACCACAGCCAGCACAAGCACCACTGAACTCGAGCAGAGGTTGGTAGAACTGACTGCCCTTGAGGGTGGTGGTATCAAACCTTGAAGATCGATCAGGGAGACCCATAGCATACTCCCAATTCTGTGATTGATCGTCCTTGAAATCGATGAAGCTCTTCATAGTCAGAGCATCATCAGGGCATGCGTGAACGCAGACCTCACAACCAGTACAATCCAACGGCGAGAGCTGAATCCTATAGTGTAGACCGGCGACTTCGGCACCACCCTTGGCCTTACGAGTCTCGAAGGTACTAGGCTTGGCATCATCCTCTGCTTGAGATAGTAAGAAGGGTCTGATGACAGCGTGAGGACATGCCATAGAGCAAGTATTGCATTGAGTGCACTTGTCCATATCAACCATGGGGATCATCAGAGCAACGCCACGCTTCTCGACCTTGGCGGTTCCAAGAGGAACCTTACCGCCAACGAGTTCGTCGTTGGAAAATGCACTAACTGGAATATTATCACCTTGGAGAAGAGCAATAGGAGCCTGAATATTCTCAGTGAAGCTCGGCTTATTAATAGCACTCTTATCCTTAGCCAAGTTACCGAGAGCATTATGATAAGTCTGTTCATAATTGAGCATACTATCCGATAGATTCTTCCATTCAGCAGGAACCTTGATCTCAGTAATTGCATCAAGAGCCTTGTCGATCATCTCGTAGTTCTTCTGGACAACAGCCTCACCACGATGGCCATAACTCTTTCTGATGGTATTCTTATACAGACCGATACACTCCTTGAAATCCATAACGTTTGCAAGCTTGAAGAAGGCAGACTGCATAACAACATTGATCATGCGGCCCATACCACATTCCTGGGCAACCTTAAAAGCGTCGACATTGAAGACCTTAGCGTTCTTATCAGCGAGAGCCTTTCGGACACCTGCAGGGACATGTTTGTTCCATTCCTCAACCGTAGTAAAGGGCGAGTTCAAGCAGAAGGTACCGTTTTCCTTGAGGTGATCAGTCATACGGTACATCTCTAAGTAGCTAGGATTGTGGCATCCGACGTAGTCGGCCTTGCGAACCGAGTAATAGGATTTTATAGGCTCGGGACCGAATCTCAAATGAGATAGAGTCAACCCACCAGCCTTCTGTGAACCATAGGCGAAGTATGCCTGGACGTAGAGGTCAGTATTATCACCGATGATCTTGGTTGCGTTCTTGTTAGCACCAACAGTACCATCAGACCCATAACCGTAGATAAGACACTCAACTGTCTTGGGATGAGACACATTGATCTCATTATCAAGAGATAACGACTTGTGAGTCACATCATCCTCGATCCCCACGGAGAAGTGATCCTTGGGGTATTGAGCATAAAGATTGTCAGCCACAGCAGCAACACATTCCGGTGTGAAATCCTTCTGTCCGAGACCCCAACGGCCACCAACCACCTTAATATTCGAACGGCCAGACTCCTGAATAGTGCTGGCAACATCCAAATAGAGAGGCTCTCCGAGAGCACCAGGCTCCTTAGTCCTATCAAGGACAGCAATGCGCTTAACAGAATTGGGCAAAGCCTTGAGGAAGTCTTCAGCAGACCAGGGACGGTAAAGACGAGGCTTGAGCACACCAATCTTTTTGCCCTGTGTGTTAAGAGCGGGCAAAGTTTCCTCAACAACACTAGCACCAGAACCCAAAATAACAATCGCCGCCTCAGCGTCCTTCGGACCGGACCATTGGAAGAGGTCATAGTGACGACCAGTAACAGCGCCAACACGGTCCATCTCCTCCTTCACAATTTGGGGAGTCTTATCATAGAAAGCGTTACAAGCCTCGAACTGTTGGAAATAAACATCAGGGTTCTGATTAGTACCACGAACATAAGGGCGAGTAGGATTGAGGGCCCTTGCACGATGAGCATTTAGTGCCTTCATATCGACCATTCTCCTTATTTGATTATAAGGCAAAGTATCGACTTTTTCAATGCAATGGGATAAACGGAATCCATCAAAAAAGTTCACGAACGGCACTCTGGCTCTGAGAGTAGCCAAGTGAGCTACGAGAGCCATATCATGACATTCTTGGACGGTATCGGCGCCAATCATAGCAAAACCTGTTTGACGAACAGCCATGATATCCTGATGATCACCGAAGATGGATAAGGCTTGACCAGAGAGAGCACGTGGAGCCACATGCATAACGCAGGGGAGAAGTTCACCAGCTATCTTATACATATTAGGTATCATAAGAAGAAGACCCTGACTGGCAGTATACGTAGTGGCCAAAGAACCAGCCGCTAAAGCACCATGAAGGGCGCCAGCAGCGCCTGCTTCAGACTGCATTTGCGTGATCTTGGGCACATCACCAAAAGCATTCTTAACACCAAGAGCCGACCATTGCTCAGCAAGCTCAGCAGCTGGAGACGTGGGAGTGATCGGGTAAATGTAAGCAGTATCCATCAGAGCATAAGATGAATGGCACACAGCACCACAGCCATCCATAGTCTGCCACTCACCACCACTAGAGGAAGCTTTACCAGCGAAATGCCTCGAACTACCAGTGATGGCAGTAACTTGAGCAGAAACAGTACTACCAACTGTCACCGCAAGAGAACGACTATGATTCAGTGTAGATAACATCAGGCAGTGACTTAGAAAATGACAACTGCCAAAGAAAACAAGTTAAAACCACAGGTTACAACTTGAGAAATCGACGTATCTAATACAACATTGCGAACCGCATTTTAGCCCAAGGGGGTATCGAGCTAAAGGTCTTTGTGTTGGCTGTCGGAGCTACCTGTCCCGTACACTTCTGTTAGCCGTTCATACATCAATGGTTTAGTGATAGATTTTCGCTACTGACAATGGATGTGCAGGTCAGTGATTTTGCTGGATGGAGGAGACAGCAGTAAGTGGTACACTTAACCCTACAACGTTCTCGTGCTGGAAGCCTGCGAGTGGAGAAGAATTGAATGGCGAAAATCCTCAGCTTTCGTCGCAACCGTGCGTAAAATTGGGAAAAGGGCTCGTGTCGCGAGTCGATCAGCCAGGAAGGGAAAATCCCTACCGGGCAACCTCTTGGGTGGGATTGTTGGGTCGAAGACATTTTCGATGAGCACAACACTGAGGTGGCCTGCCCCACACGCACGCACATAGCTGATTCATGCAGCGGACTGCCTTGGATTTTCGCTCGCTACACAAGGTGTATCAAGCACTTCATATCAACGCTCATCTGTTTCACATCAAAAGTGCTGTTATACCTTTCACAAGCCCACTTTCTATCTTAAGCCGAGCCTATGCTTCAGAACAATCAATTCGCTGACTCGGGATGAAGTAAGTCGACCCGAACGGAGCAATATTTTCGAGGCCATGTAGGAGCCAACTTCCCTGTTGATGGGATCTGCTCCGGTCGGGGGCAGATATGCCATCCCATGACTCCTGTGCTACATCTGTTAGGCTATTATGACTCTTACTGTCCAAGGATATCACCTTGGTTGTCATAATCGGAGAAGAAATACATAAATCCCAGGTTGGCATAGGCGCCTCCGATCGGCAAGACGTCATTCCCAAGCTGGTATAGCTGCCCCGAATGGGAAGACATCATTACCAAGCTGGCATAGCTGCCCTCAAACGGAAAGACGCCAGTCCGAAGCTGGCATAGCTGCCCCAATCGAGAAGGCGTCAGTCCCAAGCTGGCATAGCTGCCCCCGAACGGGAAAACGCCCGTCCTAAACTGACATACCTAACCCCGAACGTGGAGGTGCCAGTCCCAAGTCGGTATAGCTGCCCCAATCGAGAAGACGTCAGTCCCAAGTTGGCATAGCTGCCCCCGAACGGAAAGACGTCAGTCCCAAGTCGGTATAGCTGCCCCAATCGAGAAGACGTCAGTCACAAGTTGGCATAGCTGCCCCCGAACGGAAAGACGTCAGTCCCAAGTTGGCATAGCTGCCCCCGAACGGAAAGACGTCAGTCCCAAGTCGGTATAGCTGCCCCAATCGAGAAGACGTCAGTCCCAAGTTGGCATAGCTGCCCTCAAACGGAAAGACGCCAGTCCGAAGCTGGCATAGCTGCCCCAATCGAGAAGGCGTCAGTCCCAAGCTGGCATAGCTGCCCCCGAACGGGAAAACGCCCGTCCTAAACTGACATACCTAACCCCGAACGTGGAGGTGCCAGTCCCAAGTCGGTATAGCTGCCCCAATCGAGAAGACGTCAGTCCCAAGTTGGCATAGCTGCCCCCGAACGGAAAGACGTCAGTCCCAAGTCGGTATAGCTGCCCCAATCGAGAAGACGTCAGTCCCAAGTTGGCATAGCTGCCCCCGAACGGAAAGACGTCAGTCCCAAGTCGGTATAGCTGCCCCAATCGAGAAGACGTCAGTCACAAGTTGGCATAGCTGCCCCCGAACGGAAAGACGTCAGTCCCAAGTTGGCATAGCTGCCCCCTAACGGAAAGACACCAGTCCCAAGTTGGCATAGCTGCCCCCGAACGGAAAGACACCAGTGCCAAGTTGGCATAGCTACCCTCGAACGGAAAGACACCAGTCCCAAGTTGGCATAGCTGCCCCCGAACGGAAAGACACCAGTCCCAAGTTGGCATAGCTACCCTCGAACGGAAAGACACCAGTCCCAAGTTGGCATAGCTGCCCCCGAAAGGAAAGACACCAGTCCCAAGTTGGCATAGCTGCCCCGAACCGAATCGACCTCACTAGTGGCGAAATTTGCTTCCACGTTGGTCCTGGATTGGATATACTTTGATTGTGTCGGGGGAACTGATCTTCCTATCTCGTTCGCCAGTTGAATGGATTATCGAAGCGATAGAGACAGAGGGAGCTGCCGAGCTAGAGGAACTACTATGGGAGTTGTTCCAGTCATATGTGACTCCCTAAGATGGGAAGTCTGTCGGGCCATACTGGATATACTACTCGCGCAACACAAGACCTTCTGTTTAACACAGAAGATAGACCATCCTGAATGGTCAAGGTCAAAGCTGAAAGCCAGAAGGACCGTACACAAGATGTTCGGTGCAATCTAGAGAGCTCCGCACAATCTCGTAAGGAATAGAGCAGTATCCATAGTAGTGGGGGAGGAGTTAAGATAATCAAACTGACCACGACACGAAGAACTAGACATTGGGAGGAGATTACCTGCTGAATAATAGTAGACCGAGCTAACAATCCTCTTATGCTCTTGCGCGCATCACGCACGACGAAGCATGCCATACAAGCACGGTTACATCGGTGAGATGGCTCATGCTCGATACACTCCGATCGTATTCAATATACTTCGGGGCAGTAGCGTCCGGCCTCAGCAAGGTTCTCGAACATCTCCTTCGCGTTCTCCATGGAGATATTTTTACCAGCAGCAATAGCGCTGTAAATGGCGGTCTTAATATCTAATTCACCCTGACAAGCCTGTCCGCAGAGAAAGAAATAACCACCCTTCTTAATGAGATCCTCATAGACACGAGAGCTGTCATCATCGATCTTGTTCTGCACATAGACCTTCTCCTTCTGGTCACGAGAGAATGCGGGATGAAACTCAATGATGGCACTCTACACACTACTGTCCCACTATCATCTCGACCACAATATGAAGAATAGCGACACCTCAGAGATAATGAGACCCAGCTATAAGCCATAATACGGGGGATAAATACCATATGATAAATCTTGCCATACTTCATGCAATACTCAGCGTAAGATTCACAGCGGCAACCCGGTATGTCGGCGAGATATTCCTCCCACGAGACTGACATGAACACAACAGCTCATCAACGGTACGTTAACAGTAATCATCATCTTCGTACACTTACGTATGCCCAACAAGAGCACCACACTGTAGAAGCAAACGACTCCAGCTTCAATGTATCAAGCGAATGGGCGTGCACACTTGAACGAGATGAAGTTCAACACTATCAATAAGAGAAGATATGCGACATTATGACATGTCAAGTCGTAAAAAAAGTAATGACAAAATTGATACACGAGCATAGACTAATAAAGCTCAGGACAATATCGCCCAGCCTCAGCGAGCTCATTGAATATTCCCTCCGCCTTCTTAACACTGACGCCTTCACCAGCCGCAATAGCCTTATAGATAGCATTCTTAATGTCAAGCTCGACCTGGCCAGCCTGTCCGCAAAGATAGAAGTAACCACCCTTCTTAATGAGATCCTCATAGACACGAGAGCTGTTATCATCGATCTTGTTCTGTACATAGACCTTCTCCTTCTGGTCACGAGAGAATGCGGGATGAAGCTCAGTGATGGCACCCTCCTTATGGAACTTCTCGAGCTCATCGCCGAATATATAATCTCTTGCACGGTAGCGGCAACCATAGAATAGCCACATAGGTCCAGTTTCCACCCCACGAGCCTTAGTCCAAGCACGTTCCTGGACGAAGGCGCGGAAGGGAGCAAGACCAGTACCGAGGCCAGCCATGATCATAGGTGTCATCGGGCTCTCGGGGAATTTGAAGCTACCAGAAGTGACAGTCACAGCAACGTTCTCACCAACAGCAAGTCTTCGAATATAGTCAGTTCCTGTACCGGTCCTCTGCACTCCAGAGGGAGTCTTCCATTCCAGAATAACAACAGCGAGCTCCACAGCCCGAGGACCGACGTAACGGGGAGAACTAGCAATAGAGTAAAGCCTCGGCTTAGTGCAGGGAATAAGACCAATCAAATGCTCCAGCGGTGGGTGAGCACTCTTGTACTTCTCCAAAACATCAGCGAACGTCACCGTTTCCGCAGAGAGCTTACTGTAAAGCTCACGACCCGAAGAGCTCTCCGGATCGCCTAAACTCTCAAGCTCAGACTTTTCAGTAGGATCGACGGCGAACTTGGACAAGCTCTTGTAGAAGGTACGATTAGGCCGACCAAAGACATCGAGGCACTCCTCGAATATCTGACCAACCGTTCTCGGGCGAACAGCAGCGAGCCTCTTCCTAGCATCAACGTTGCTTGTGAGTGGAGTGATCTTGACCATCTCCTCAGGGTCGAAACCATATGCCCTTAGGAAGGTCGCCACTCTACCCTTCTCATTGGTGGGATGAATGTTTAACACATCGCCAAGCAAGTACGGCAGATCCTGACCGTCGGCAAGTTCAAAGCGGAGATGACGAATATCTCGTTCATAGTCGCTAGCTGTGATCCGATCATTCTTGACCAAAGGCACAGGGAGTGTGCCTGGTGGCATAACACGCTTATACGGTGCTACTATAGCATCAGCATCAGTGAGCAAGCGGACCTCAAACTGCGCAGGAGGGATAGACCCGTCATCAACAGGTTCAGGAGCATTCACAGACTTCCAATAGTCCGGAAGCCACGACTCGAAGGCAGTCTCATACTTGTCATCATCCTGATCGTTACCGAGACCAATGTCAACAGTGCGTGTTGCTCCTAACTTCTCCAGATGAGCATCGATGTCCTTACCGACCGAGCAGAACTGATGATAGCTCGAGTCACCCAAAGCGAATACGGCGAATTGTGTGTTCTCCAGGAGCTTAGCATTAGCCGAGTCCCCACTAGCAGCAGATAATTGTTCCATGAAGCTCAGGGCCGTCTTAGGAACATCACCTTCACCAGTCGTAGAGCACATAACCATGAGGTTCTTATGATCAGGCAACTCGCCAATGTCGACCTCATCACATTGAAGAACTCGAACAGCATAGCCCCTCTGGCGGGCGAACTCAGCAGTTCTATAGGCGAGGGCCTCAGTGGTTCCCGTCTCAGTGCCGAAGAGCAGAGTTAACGGTACTCCATCACTGACTTCCTGCCCCTCAGCCGCCCATGCTTGATATTTGGCAAACCTCTCCTGGATCCAGTCATGGAGGCCTCTTACAGACTCCTCGAACTTCTCAGCATCTCTTTTCTTTAGAGCACCAAAGCGCATCTCGTTCTTGATAACGTCATTGACATCAACTGTTAACTTCTTAGTGTCAAGAATAAAGGGATTCTTCCCATGATGCTTGAGGACAGGATTATACCTATAAAGCGGGAAGTACCCAGAGTCAGCCACAATAGCCATATGCTGCATAGTGTGAGTCATGCCATCCAAATTCTTATGCTCAATGCAGGGAGCATATCCAATGATGAGAGATGGTCCATCATACGCCTCAGCCTCAGTGAAGGACTTCAACGTCTGCTGATAGTTAGCACCCATCGAGCAGTTGGCAACATACACAGTGCCATAGCTCATAGCCATCTCACTCAAACTCTTCTTATTCACTTCATGACCACCTGTAGCGAACTTAGCCACAGCACCCAAGGGAGTTGCCTTAGACTTCTGACCACCTGTATTAGAGTATACCTCAGTGTCAAGAACAAGAACATTGATATCTTGCCCCGAGGCCAATACGTGATCAACACCACCGAAACCAATGTCATAAGCCCAACCGTCACCACCAATAACCCAGTTGGAGATCTTTGGTATCAGATCGGACATAGATAGAATTTCTTGCACGGAGGGGTCCTTATCGATATCCGCCTCAAGCAGCGGTGGAATACTCTTCGACAGCTGCTCACAGACCCTCGGACTGCTGAAGTTCTCAACCCACTCGGTAAGCTGGGTGTACAACTCGGGTGATAGCGGACTGTCCTTACCGTCCATCAGGAGCTCCTGCACGCGCGCCTTGAGAGCCTTCCTACGAATGGATGTAGTCACAGCCATACCGAGGCCATACTCCGCCGCATCTTCAAAGAGGCTGTTCCCCCAAGCTGGACCAGTACCATCCGTCCTGGTGGTATAGGGACTTGAGCCATAAGGAGCACCCCAGATGCTGGTACAACCAGTAGCATTAGCAATCACCATGCGGTCACCGAACATCTGGGTAAGAAGGCGAACATAGGGGGTTTCACCACAGCCAGCACAAGCACCACTGAACTCCAACAGGGGCTGTTGGAATTGACTCCCTCGGAAGGAATTCTTATCGAATCTCTCAGACCGGTCCGGAAGGGCCACAGCGAACTCCCAGTTAGCGCTGGATGCCTCGTGCGTATCGGCCAGAGTAACCATCCTTAGTGCATCATCTGGGCATGCGTTCACACAGACCTCACATCCAGTGCAGTCATAAGGCGACACTTGAATGCGATAATACAGACCGGCCACCTCAGCCCCACCCTTAGCCTTGCGAGAGTCAAATGTTGGCGGCTGACGGTCAACCTCATCCTGTGAGAGAAGGAACGGCCTGATAACAGCATGAGGGCATGCCATAGAACAAGTATTGCATTGAGTGCACTTGTCCATGTCCACCTCGGGCACTTCAAGGGCAACACCACGCTTCTCATACTTAGCCGTACCCAGAGGATTCACCCCACCCAGCAGACTGTCCTCAGCAAAGGAGCTCACTGGGAGGGAATCGCCTCGAAGTAGAGCGATCGGACCCTGGACATTTCTAGAGAAGGCGTCATCAAGACTGGCATACTTCTTCTCGGTGGCAATAGGCTCATCAGGTAGGTCCTTCCAGCTTGGAGGCACCTTAATCTCATTGATTGCACCAAGAGCTTTCTCGATCATCTCATAGTTCTTCTGGACAACAGATTCGCCGCGATGACCATAACTCTTCCTGATGGTATTCTTATACAGTTGGATGCTCTCCTCGTAGTTCATCACATTCGATAGTTTGAAGAAGGCCGACTGCATAACAACATTGATCATGCGGCCCATACCACACTCCTCGGCAACCTTGAAGGCATCGACGTTGAAAATCTTAGCATTCTTTTCAGCAAGAATACGTCTCAGTGCTGCCGGCACATGAGCATTCCAATCCTCAACTGTGTGGAAGGGAGAGTTCAAACAGAATGTTCCCCCCGGCTTCAGATGCTCCCCCATACGATACATGTCCAAGTACGTTGGATTGTGGCATCCAATATAATCAGCCAGGTTCACGGCATAGTACGACTTTATGGGGCTCGACGCGAATCGGAGATGCGACAAGGTCAGACCACCAGCCTTCTGTGAACCATAAGCAAAGTATGCTTGGACAAATCTATCAGTATTATCACCGATGATCTTGGTAGCGTTCTTGTTAGCACCAACAGTACCATCTGAACCAAAGCCGAAGATAAGGCACTCCACCGTGCCTTCATGACCGAGATTGATCTCCTCTCCCAAAGGCAGGGACAGATTCGTGACATCATCCTCAATACCAACAGTGAAGCGGTCCTTAGGCTTACTAGAGTACAGATTCTCAGTAACAGCCACCACACAGTTGGGAGTGAACTCCTTCTGACCAAGGCCCCAACGACCACCGATCACCTTTACATTGCGACCAGAGCCTTGAATAGTACTCGACACGTCCAAGAACAACGGCTCTCCATAAGAACCATGCTCCTTAGTACGATCTAACACAGCGATCTTCTTCACCGTTTTGGGAAGGGACTTCAAGAAGTCCTCCGAAGACCAAGGCCTATACAGTCGAGGTTTCAACAACCCCACTTTCTTCCCAGAAGTATCATGGATATGCCCAAGTGTCTCCTCAACCACACTCGCGCCCGCCCCTAGAATGACGACAGCAGCATCAGCGTCCTTAGGTCCCACCCATTGGAACAAGTCATAGCCTCTACCAGTAACAGCCTTCACACGATCAAACTCCTCCCTAACAATACCAGGGACATCCTCATAGAACGTATTGGATGCCTCAATCTGTTGGAAGTACACGTCTGGATTTTGATTGGTTCCCCTGATATGGGGGTGCATCGGATTGAGGGCACGAGACCGATGAGCATAGAGTGCCTTAGTGTCGATCAACTTCCTCATCTCATTGTAGGGTAAAGTGTCGATCTTCTCAATGGTGTGAGACAAACGGAAACCATCAAAGAAGTGGACGAAGGGAACTCTTGCTCGTAAAGTGGCCAGGTGCGCTACAAGAGCCATATCGTGACACTCCTGTACCTGGAAAAAAGCGAAAAGCATAAACACGAACAAATTCCGCAATTAAAATCCCAGGCAACCTACACTGTTGGAGCTGATCATGGCGAACCCGGTCTGGCGAGCAGCCATAACATCCTGGTGATCACCAAAGATAGAGAGAGCATGGCCCGCTATAGCTCGGGCCGCCACATGCATGACACAAGGGAGTAATTCACCCGCGATTTTATACCTGTGCGACCGCAGTGAAAGAACAGCTTCCAATCGACTCTTCGTATATTACATATTTGGAATCATCAATAGTAACCCCTGGCTAGCCGTAAAAGTAGTAGCGAGAGACCCCGCTGTGAGAGCCCCATGCAGAGCACCAGCCGCACCAGCTTCTGACTGCATTTGTGTGATCTTAACGACATCACCAAAGGCATTCTTTACGCCCAGCTCAGACCACTGCTCAGAGAGCTCAGCAATAGGTGATGACGGAGTAATAGGGAAAATGAATGCCGTGTCGGTCATAGCATATGAGACATGAGTAACTCCAGTACACCCATCAACTGTTTGCCACTGACCACCACCTAATAGAGCACTCACTAGTACGAGACTGGTAAACTAATCCTTACTTGAAGACACCTTTGCAGCAAAGTTCCTTGTTCTGAGGGTAGCAGCAGCACCAGCGAGAGCTCGGGAGGATGCGAACTTGGTAAGCTTCGAACCGTTGGAAGATATCAACATTGAGGCAAAAGATAACTAATAACAACAACATTTATCCGAATACTTCTGCGACGCTCAATCCGAATGCCGAGACATTCTAAACGTAAATAGCGCGCGCCCTGATATTCCTGAGGGAATAGTATACGTTGAAGCACTCAAAAATTGTTGGGAGTGACCGACCATGCTCAGATGTGCTTTAACTGAACCTGTTTCGTATCTTTTGAAGGGGGCCCCAGGACACTTCACAATGATATCTTGCGCCGTTGACCTTTTCTGCGCAATTTTGCGCAAAAGAATTATTTAATAAAATTAGTTTACCGTATTTTGTGCAACTAGCCTTCCAAATACCTTGCGCCGACGCATTTCTTGTAAACCTTCATAGACTCTTTCAAACACACTATAAACTTGATCATACTATTCCAAGGCAATGCCTCGATGCTCTTTACATTGAAACCATGGTCCAGCACTTGCAGATCTTCCTGACGTCAATGGCCTATATACCTCACTTGCTTACAGATCTGCCAAACTCATGTGCTTTGACGTGGGGACCACCACCATACTAGCAACTGTTGCTATGATGTTGATATACTCTGCTGTGATAGTGAGGGGCCTCCTTTACACCCGTCGCCAACATTGAGATTTGAATAACAGTCATGAATCTTTTCCTCGAATTATGGTATTGCTAACAGTTGTGAAATTGTTGCCGTGCATATACCTCATTTCGGAGCTGCTGAGTTCGCAGCCATACTGCCTGGTCAAAGGAGTGGTGCTTCCAAAATGTTCTGGTGTTCTTATCAGTCAACTTGCATCCATATAACAACACAAAACACCCAGTTTCTCTTTAAACGGTTTTAGTGAGTTATTCACCACTCAGTATAATCGTCCATCTATATTCTTCACTGGAGAGTGTACCTTTACAACAATGCAATCTTGTAGCGCATACGAGAATCGTAGAATTTACGGTATTTTATCAGCATATAGGCACTTCTCGGCCACATCTTTCTCGGTGACAGTGGTGACACGGATAACTCCACCAGAAGATCCATCACGGGCCATAGCATGAGCCACCGCCTTAGCCACGAAGTCCTCAGCCTCCTCTCTGCTCATATCAGGGCGATACAAATGATCAACCAACCCCGTAATGTAAGTCGACCTGACAAAAGACTCTAAGCATTCTTCGGAGCTCGCAAGAATTACCATTACCCAGAACCACCCGTAGCGATGTTTTGCTTGATAATAGTACCACCCAGAGGTATCGAATAAACCTGTGAGCAGTATGGGAATATCTCCACATGGCTAACTACATATGTTAGTAAGAATATAAAAACTATGGGGAAACTTTGCGAAATTACCGTTGGTTTTTGTACACTTTACCCATAATCCTTGGCGGATTTTTCATAATGTAGTGAGAGAACTTACGAGCTCAGTTGAGGAAGCTAAACATACATCCCCACACCGCCCGTAAGCGGTGGCGTTTAAGATCAGATAAGTGACTACCTGAGGCCCCTCAGTCTGGTCCCATCCAGCCACAATAAGGCCAGCTGTGAGATACTGTTTATTGTTGTAGGCTAGCAATCTACATACCGCAAATTCAACAACACATCGTTAGGATGGTAGTGGTACTCACCTCATCAGATTAGCAGCTGTCTTAACCTTGGGCAGACGGTCCAGAGGGAGATCATTAGCATGCGCATTGAGGAAGTACTTGACCTTCGAGCTTAGG